AGGAAAATGCAATATAAATTGCCTTAGCAGTGTTGACAAAAAAGATAATAGTAACCTAAAATATTTTGTCCAATCCAATATTCACATGATATTTATTATATGGGGGAAAAAGTAAAGGAATAAGAAAGAAAAACATTTTTTTTTTAAATGTGAATCTCTAGATGAATATTTTTCTCTTGAAAAAATAAAATAAAATGAAAGAAGACTCATTATGCAGAATGAAAAAATCAAATGCAATTACGATTGGCCATATGATAAAATGCACCTAATTAATAAATTGCATCTGGAACAAGAGATCAGCATATCGTTTTTATCCACAATATATTGGATCCAAACTATCACAAATATAATAAAAAAATGGAAAATAAAGGAGGGGAAGAACATGTGAAATGCAATGCATTAGTCAATAAAAAATATTTACTTTTCATGAATTACCTGTTTAAACAAGAAATTGCAGAGGAAGAATGTTGTGATATGGCTTACAAGAGATGTTACAGAAGAAGAAGGAATAAATAAATAAATAAATAAAAAAGGTCAAAATTTCCCTTGAATTAGGAGTTTCTATTTTTATTATACAGCTCTTACATTGTCAAAATTCTTGCATATTATACCAAATTTGTTACTATGTCATTTAATTTTATAATTTGACTCTTTCAAATATTTTGAGTGGTATGCCTGCGAAATTTATGCATATTTGTTATAAAAGAAAATTATGTAATAGACATTAACACGACTATCGAACAAGTAACATCGAGCTATATGATTTAAGAGTTTAATGAGATTGTTTTTGAGACGAGTCAAATCAAGTTTAAGAATTTCGCATAAATTGGCAATTACTGGTTACACATTAATAATTTGTAGGTAAACAAATTCATGTCAAAATAAGACGTATTTCATTTCATTCTTAGTGAAGTAAATTGTGAAAAAAATGCTCATACTGGAAATTAACTATAACAAATTAACTATATAATTTTACAATCTCACACTCTCATGACATTTATGAAATATATATATATAAAAAAAAAAAGAAGGAAATAGAATATCCATAATTTTATTTTTTTTTTTAAATGTTGATTTATTTCATTATCTTTCTCCTCGTTGCTCGGGTGTCAATCCTCCTTTGCCGCAAACCGGACAGCTCTTCAGCCCGAAACCTTGGCATTCAAAGCACCTTAACGCAATAATAATTAAAAATATAAAAATCAGCTTAATTTAATATTATTTTTTCCTGTAAAATAAAAATACTTACTTCCATCTCTCAAAAATATTCCCATTCTTCTTGTTCTTCCCAGTTCCCTAATTAATCAAGCCCAAACAGAATTGAGATTACATACCTTTCAAACTGAAATTTAATTATCATAGCAAAGTAGACCAATTGTTTAGGCAGCCTCATATAAGAAATTATGCAATTTTTAATTGTGTAACCAATAAATATACATTTATAATAAATATGCATGCTTTCGTATATATAAATGTATGATAAATCAATCTAGTGAGATTTATTCACACAAACACACACAAATTTTAATTAGAGCAATACCTTACACCCTGGACATTCAATTGCACCTTGGCCTTTACATTCTTGACACTGTATATCAAGGTAATTGCACATTTACTCAATTAGCTAACAAGTAAAATGGGACAAAAAAGGGAAAATTATAACAAAAAAAAAAAAAACATAAACATACTGATTTCAATGTGAAGCCACCAGATTTTGCTGCATGTAGTGCAAAAATAGTCCTCCTCTGTTGTTGCTTCACATTTTCTTCACATTTTCTGACAGTAATCTGAGGATGGATTAAGGATATTGGAGAGGTTAAGGTATTAGTGGTGTTCAAGTACAAATTATTCATTTTAGTTTTGTTTATATTTTTAATTATTTGGGAAGTTCAGGCATTTTTTTTTTCTGGAACAAAGTTTGAGACTTTTGAATGGATAATTATGAAAATTTTGTGGTGTCCATATATCATTTTATTTATTTTTTTTGTGTCCATATATCATTGCAAGAAAAGATTGTGTCTTTGTGGGCCCAGCATCTGGATATATCAGATAACAGTGCACTTGACAAGATATGAAAAGGTTTGGTCTTTTAATTGGGTTAATATAGGCCCCTAAGTGGGCTCTTTTGAAAAACTGGGCTTCTTTAGGCCACTACACACTTGCAAGCAAGACTCGTGGCTCATGTAGCTGGCTATTATAAAGTTGACAAGAGTAGCTAATTGTTAGTATTTAGTTTAAATTTTGTTTTAATTAAAAATATATTTTCACATGAGATGATGTGTGAGTTTCTTCTTTCTTATGAACCATATATCGAATGCAGTATGATTATATTATAAAAATTGAATACATAAAGAAAACTTATAAAATATTACCTCTTTTGCATTTTAGAGTGCGTAAGTAAGATATAAGCCGACTTATAGTTTATTTTAGTTAGTTTATAATTTTTTTGTTATCAAATAACTTTATTTTGGAAGGAAGAAGTCAAATAAAAAAACTATAAATGATTTATCAATTTAGTGTTTCAAAAACGTCCTTTGACATTTTTGTATTAGTTGTTTTATCAATTAATTTTATCATGGAATTTAATTATATAAACTAGTTTTTTACCAACTATCAATTGATAAATTAATATAAACTAAAATATACCCTTAACATAGATACAAATAAAAAAGCTATACGACTTGTTTAAAGTGCTTCTAGTCTTAGAATTTTACACAAATTCAAGTTTTCGATAAAAAAAATTAATCAGCTATATAAAGCTTATATGAGTAATAAAAGAGTTTTCCTTTGAGATGATTCAATATAAAACAAGCAACTAAAGTAATAACTTAACAAGGCCATGGTCTGTGTTTCCTAGCGCTTTTAGACAAAAATATATTCTGTTAAACCCAATTAATTATCTTGATGAAATGTAATAAAAAGCATAACGTAATATTCATCTAATTCTTAGAGATCTGGCAAATAATAAAAAGTTTTCTCCCATAAAGTATTTTGAGATCTGGTTATAAATTTTTCCAGATTTTGACAATCTAATTTGGACAATTGTGATTAATTATTCATTTTCAGCAAAAATGAAATTGATGGTGCTCCACATTAGAAAACCCAAGAAGAAGAGAAGAAAAAAAAAAAAAAAACTAGAAAAAATAATGGCTAATAGTAGAAATAGTTTAATAGTTATAGAAGGACCTGAGAACAGTTTTCATGATGATGAACACTCTTTCTACAAAATTGTTCTGCCTGGTACAAGCACCAATGGCCCTGTAAGTTACAACTTTTCGTTTTTACATTTACTTTTACTTTGTATTAAACTATCAAGAATTTTTTATTTTTCGGAAAGAAAAGATCGATTATATTAGAGAGAAAAAAAAAAATCTAATTCGAATCACGAAAGTGTACAAACTAAGTTTTTATGTAAAATTTTGTTTGAATGTGAACTTAGATGAGGTGATTATAAATAATATTTCAAATGTGTACTTTCTAGTTTCTACTTTTGAAAGATTTATTTTTTTATTTTTATTTTTGCCTCATATAGTCATATTACAATCATTATTTTTCAAAATTTGCAGGCAATCCCTCCATCATTCTTGGAGCATATTGATGATAAGGTAGACTTAAATGTGGTGACTTTAAGCAATTCAAGTGGATCCAAATGGTTTGTCCAATTAAGGCATGAAGGAAGCAGCTTAATTTTCCAAGATGGTTGGGAGGAATTTTACAGAGACAACTCTTTAAAAATTTCCGATCTTTTGCTATTTTTGTATGATGGTGAATTGGAGTTTCGTGTCAGTGTATATGATAAAAATGGTTCTAAAATTGCTTAGTCAATTGCAAAAATGTGTTCATCGCCTTGGAAAAAGGGAAAAAAAAAGTTGCAATGTACTGGAATTATATATCTAATAATATTGACTAGATTTAGCAGTTTTGATTGTTTACAGATTAGGAAAAAAAAAAAATAAAAAAATTATGATTAAATTTGAACCTATTATCATATTAATGATCAAAAACAGAATAAATAACACGAAATCACAATAGTGAAAACAAAAATACGAAACGATAAACACAATTTGTTACCGCTGAATTAGAATGTGCTAAAACTGGACTGCTTATGCCTACAAATGCCTATGAAAAATTGGGCAAATGTAATTGATTGATTTTGGGGCAAATGTGTAACAATTTTGTTGCTTCTCAATACATAAAACCTGTCCACAAATATTGAAAGAAAATATACTACTGCCAGAGTTCTGTATAGTCAACAAAATCCCTACAGAGCAAAAAAATTTACATGCTACAAACATTTTGCAGTAAAAGATATTGTGCAATTCGTGAAATACAAATAAAGGAAAATTCTGGATCGATGCTTTACCAAGAATTGAGCCGAGCTTACACAACATCGACTCGTTTTCACTCCTGCGGAAAACGTTCATCTGCAAGTTCATCAACATCGGCTCGTTTTCACTCCTTTTTGTTTTTCCTTTTTAACCGAAATGAATTTGTATTTTCACACAGCTCGCAGATCAATCACATTTGATGTTTCTGTAAATTCTCCTGACGAATAAGTTTGAGCCCAAATACCCAACGGCACCTGAAATTTACGGCAGGTCAACAAAAAATTAATGTAAATCAGCTACACATTGAAATGGAAAAGGATATATGGTATACTTATGACTGAAAAATTATCTTATATGATAAAAGTATTTGGTAAATTAGCTGATAAGTTAGCTGAAATACTTAAAATAACGGGCTTATTTGAAAAGCTACCTAATGAAACGTATAAGCTCGATCAAATAAGCTAGCTTATATGCTTACCAAAATTATTTGAATACATGAAGCTTATAAGCTAATCAGATAAGCTATAAGCTAGCTTATATGCTTACCAAACACAACCAATGTAAACTCACCACATAGAATACCCAGACCAAGACAGAACATCAAAGTGTATCCAAAATAAAAACTCGTTTGGAAAAAACCCGACATTTTTGTCTTCGCGTGGTAGTAATATATCGAGTAGAGGTACACGTAAAGAGCAGTTGAGGCGGCAGAGAAGAACGAAGTCCATTGCCAGTGATAGTTCTCGGCATTCAGCAAGAAATATGTGCCAACAATCGTCACACAAATGGTGACGATTATCAGTATCACAAACACGAGTAACATGAAGCCATAAACATAATAAACCTGCCAAACCACAATAACGAAATAAAGATTTAACAGCAAAGAATCATTAGGGTCTCACAAATTCTAGTTGGTAAACGAGCAGAAAAGTACCACCAATAGGAAAAAATAACAAGTTATTTTGATTGAATGTTGAGTTAAAGTGAGTTATTTTGAATAAAGTTGATTGAGTGGATGATTTTGAGTTCGTATTTAAATAATATTTAGAAATGTAAATGATTAAAGTTGATTTGATAACTCCGCCTATGTTGTCTCAACATAGCAGGTCCCAAGCCCTGGTAAAGGAGGAGGGTTGTGATAGGCTTGGCGAGCCAACGTAAAACCTAGCCGTTCTATGGAGATGAAACTCATGAGGAATTCGTTGGGGCGTAACCCTCTTAGCGACGCGCCATATCGGAACCCGGGTATGGTGTCAAATGGGCAAGGGCCGGGTCGTCTCCCCCTTGGGGACGCGCCATGTCGTGGTTTGGGCATGGTGTTAAGTGAGCAAGGACCGGGTCGTCATTTCCTTAGTGGCGCGCTACATCGGCGCCCGGGTGTAGTGGAAAATGAGCAAGGGTCTTCGCGTCTCTCTCGACGGGTGCGAAGGGCAAGGAAGCTAGTCGAACCAACTAGGGTTCGTATAGGTAGCTGGAACGTAGGGTCCTTAACGGGTAAACTACGTGAGCTAGTCGATGCAGCTACTAGGAGGCGTGTTAACATCCTATGCGTCCAGGAGACAAAATGGAAGGGACAGAAGGCGAAGGAGGTGGAGGATACTGGCTTCAAGCTTTGGTTCACTGGGGCTTCATCGAGTAGGAATGGTGTAGGCATCTTGATCGATAAGAGCCTTAAGGATGGAGTTGTCGATGTTAGAAGGCAAGGCGACCGGATTATCCTAGTCCGATTGGTAGTTGGAGATTTGACCATGAATGTGATCAGTGCCTATGCCCCTCAGGTAGGTCTTAGTGAGAGCGAAAAGAGGCAATTCTGGGAGGACCTGGATGCCTTGGTTAGTACGGTGCCTGCCAGCGAGAAGCTCTTTGTAGGAGGGGACCTAAACGGCCATGTGGGTGCGACTAAGGTAGGTTTCGAGAGAGTGCACGGAGGGTTTGGGTATGGTAGTAGGGACGAAGAGGGGGAGGGTGTGTTGGACTTTGCGATGGCCTACGACTTGTTGATAGCGAA